TAATTCTTTCATTGCCCAGGTCCAAGATTTTACTCATCTTCACAGTAAATACCCCACGCATATTCTTGCAAGGCAAAAATATGACTTCAGCATTAAGAAAAGTTTGTCTATCCCTTAATAGAAAAAGAAATTGACTTACTGAATTTAGCCTTTATTAAATAGATTTTTAAAAATTTTATACCTCTTCTTAGGCACTTAGGATGAGCTAATTACTACAGTTAAGTGAGAAGTTGGGCACCAAGCTCTCAGGCTTGGAAACTGGAGGACAATGTACAACTATTAGGTTTTTACATTAGTCCTTTTACAAAAGACAAGAAATAAATGGGCCTAGTTAAATTCTTTCTATGGAAGGTGCATGAGGCATGACTTCACCAGAGAGGCAAGACCAGCAGAATGGGTGGGTAAGTGTGTGTGTGCGTGTGTGTGTGTGTGTGTGTGTGTGTGCGCGCGCGCGCACACACCCGCGCATGTGGTTGTGGGGCCAGCTAGGCACCTCCTGAATCCACGGGGCAGACCACCAGGAAGGACCTGCTGGAGCTCTCGGCACAGCTGGACGCTGCCATCCACAGGTGAAATCCCTTCTTCCCCGGGGAAGCTTCAGCTCTGCTCTCAAGGCCTTCAGCTGATGGAATCAGGCCCCCTCCGGTTAGCACGGATACCCTCCCTTACTTAAAGTCAACTGATTGCAAATCTTAGTCACATCTCCGAAATCGCTTCGCAGCAACACCTGAACTAGTGTTTGACTGAGTAACTGGGGACTGTAGTCTAGCCAGGGTGACACATAAAACTGTCCTCACAGCAGCTAAGATAATACAGTCCATGTATTTGACTGCTTTCTAATCAAATCTAGTAAGGAAATAGAGGTTAGAGAACAAATAAAGTAAGTATGTATTACTTTTATAATTTTTTTCAGAACATTGAAAAATTCTTTTAAAAAAAACTATGGAAATGAGTGGCACTTGTCAGATCTATCCCAAGAGAAAATAATCCAGGAAAGATATATTAATATTATATAAACATATACTATACATTTCCTGGTATGCTAACTTCCATTCAGATAATGTTTATTCAAGATTTGGAGAAGTATTTTACATCTTAAAGGAGCCTCAGGAAATCTGAGGCCCTGATTAGTTAACAGCAAATCCCTGGGTAAATTCCAGCTTTCTGCATTGTTGGTTAAAGAAAGACCCACAGGCCGCAGGTAGCAGCCATGCAGGTCAGAGGAATGATCATGAAAATTTGGAGCTGGGTTTGTCTTCTTCCCAGAGCTCCTCCTCCAGAAATGGCTGTACCAAAGGCAATGTTTGCAAACTGGCCTGAAACTTTCTCTCAAGGAGTTTTGTGCCTGCCTAAGCCAGAACTTCCTTTGTTCACCGTACCCTTATCAGCTCGGTAAGTTTTTGGTGGCATTTCTAGGCCAAAAGAAATGCTTAACAGTTCTGGTTATTAAACAAATGGCACAACAAGAATTAATGTCTTCACAACTTAATAGGCATCTGAAAAATTTGTTCACATAAATTGAAAAAAATATATTTTCATTTCATTCTTAAATAATTATATCTTTGTTCCAAACGGATGTATACAGCATGCTTATTTTATATCACAGTAACTTCCAAAAACCCAGGTTTGCAAAGATATGATGTCACAGAAAGGAAAGTAGCACAATCCACCTTAACACCGACTTAACTATCCGAGTTAGGAAATCACATACACGTGTGATTAACAGATATCACAGTGTTTTCCTCAAAATTCGGAAATCCCAGTGCACCCGTGAGTTCGTTGCAGCACCCCAGAGCACCTTGCTGCAGTGCGGGCACCCAAGGCCTGAGCATTTGTACAGCACCCGAGTCTTGAGTTCTGGACAATGTAATTAAAAACCCAAACATTTTCAAAATCAAATCAGGCTTTCTACATATTTTCCCATTTTGTACGTGACACATTCATGTTATTTAACCGGGAAGGACGTACTGCATGATGTATCTAAATTTAAATTACACTCTCCAGATAGAAGCATATGAGCAAGTGTTGACGTTAGACCATCAGCAGCTACTCCTGCAATGTTCCTCCCCTTCTGCCAGATTGAAGGAGCGAGTCTTTGGTTTTTATGTGCTGTTCCTTTTCCGTTATTTCTTTGTAGTCCATTCTCTGTAGTACTGGTGTGAAAGGGAATTTAATGTCTTTGTGTCAGGAAAGGCCTATTTATTCTGACAAACTGATCAACCTCCAGGGTGTTCCTCTACCGTGAAACTGATTTTATGTATCATCCACTAGCTAATAAGATGTGAATGGTTTTCCCCATCACGCCAAGAGATCAGGCTTGCTTCTCTGCAAAAAGCAGTGGGTGAGATCCTATAGCCAGTTCTCTGTGATTGGGCCTCACGTGCACATTTTTCCAACAGAGCATGTAAGAGCAGAGTGAGGGGTCTGAGGCAATCCCAAAGATTAGCAGATAAATTAAAAAAAAAAAAAAAGTTAGGAGGAAACCCTAGGACCAAACTCACTATTCACTGGATTGAGCTTTCAGTTCAGAGAGAATAACATGTCAGAAACTGAAACCTGGTGCCGTCAGTGATTTGTGTAAGGACATCCTGACACACACACCCTCTCCCACCAACCCGAACCTCTAAATGAAGTTTCTGTTCCACAAAATTTGGGTTCATTCTCTTTACGGTGAGAAGAAATAAGAATATAATATGCTGAAAGTGATGGCTGGAAGATCAATTGTGGCTTCTCTGTAGAAGAGGCCATTTCCTTGTAAAATGCTTTCCTTTTTTGTTTCTTGTGTCCTGAGATTAAGATATTTTTCAGATGAGTTATTAAAACAAGAAGTTGGACATAGGGAAGGAGAGAAGTCTGTTCACATGGTGAAGACAACACAACATGAAGGAAAAATGGTGTAGGCTGATCTTTTTGAGGCAAGAGGAATGGTGATATATTTTGGGATAGGGTTAGTTTTATATCCTGTTTATTTTTGTTTTTCAGTTCAAATCAGTCTTGTCTTAAGTGAAACTGGGCTAAATTCCTGGCTTCTGCTATAGAATATTAGCTTGAGAACTTGGCCTCTGAAAAGCTTTTGAGTCTTCCAGCCTCAGTGTCATTCCTGTATCAGTTATTTATTGCTGTGTAAAAACCACCTCAAAACTTAGTGATTTAGAACAGCAACAATCCATTTGTAATATGACCCAGCTGTGCACCTGGCAGGTTGGTGCTGGCCGTGTACTGAAGGCACAGCCAGGGTCGTTGTGAGACTACGGCCTCGGCTCCTCTCCTCGCGGGCCTCTCCGTGGGCTGCTGGGTTTCCTCACCACATGGTGGCTGGGCTTTAAGAGCAAGCCTCCCAACAGGAAATGGAAGCCACCAGTTTCTTAAGGCCTGGGCCCAGAGAGTGGCACGCCATCATTTCCACCACATTCCAATGGTCAAGTAGTCACCACATCTGGATTTCAGCAGGAGAGACATGAAGCCCAGCCCTCAGTGGGAAGAGCATCCTGCCATCGTGCATCTGTGCCCAGACCACAGCATCACCCACACACCATCCAGCAGGCAGCACTCTCTTCTCTGCCGAAATACTTTCTCTGAATGCAGTTTCTGCTCTGGGAGTTGTTGCCCCCTAACTAGTTAAAGAAGTGGGCATTGAAGGGAAAGGGAAAAAGGGAAAAAGGCATCTCTGACTGGTTTCGTCTCCTTAAAGTTAGGAACACTTAGCATGCCAGGCATGGTTGTAGCCATTTTGTATATATTATCCTGCCTACCTCTCACAATGTCATACGACACAGTTATCATTCTTATCCTGGTTTCTCAGCGGGGGAAACTGAGGCACAGAAACCAAAGTGGCTCTCACAAGGTGTTTCAGGTGGCAGGCGATGGGACGATGACTCCAATCCAGTGTGTCCTAATGTGGACCCACACCCTGAGCCACTACAGCAACCTTCGGAACATGGCTGGTGACAATGAAAAAATGTAAAGTACTTTCTGGAGGGTTCCAGTGATTCCAGACAGACAGCCTTGAACGACCCTAGCTGACATTCACTTTTCCAGCTTTTTTCTTTGTAAGATGAAAGGTAGAGGACAGGTGACCCCTTGGGCGTCTTCATTTCCATGGCATATGAATGTGGAAAGGAGAGCCATCACCCAGGGAGAAGACCCGCTGCAGCCCACGTATTAGCTCCTGGGGCTGCCACAGCCAAGGGCCACAGACTGGGCAGCTTAAACAGCAGTTCATATTCTCACAATTCTGGAGGCCGGAAGTCCAAGATCAAGGTGTAGGCAGGTTCGGTTTCTCCTGGGGCCTCTTTCCTGGGCTTACAGATGGCCACTTTCTCACTGTATCCACGTGGTCTTCCCTCAGTCTGTGTGTTTCTGTGTCCTGATCTCCTCTTCTTATGAGGATGCCAGTCACACTGGATAAGGCCTACCTTAACAACCTCAGTTTACCTTACTACTTTAAAGGCCCTACCTCTAAACACAGTCACATTGTGAGGTACTGGGTGTAGGGCTTGGGCTGGGGGCGGGAGAAAGAGGAGAGACATGATTCAATCCATCACAGCGTGTTTCTCTTTGCTATCATAGGCTTTCAAAAAAATGGACTTTCAATACAAAACAAGTCCATTGACATGGACATACAAATCTTTTATATATGTGAACAAATATATAATGTAAAATTCTTGACGTTCTTTTCCTCGTTTTTCCAACACCAATAATACTTAGCTACAGGTATTTATTTGCATTACTGTCTCTTCTGCAAGACTGGAAACACCTGGAAGAAAGGAAATGTGACTCATCATTCATCTTTGTAACTCTGCTGCAGTGCTTGGAACATTCTTTAGAGAGTGAACAGTCTCATTAAAATATAACTTGATTTCTTTTTGCAAAAAGCAATTTGACATGGAAACCCTCACGCAGGTCAGAGGAATGAATGTAATGAGTTTGGAAAAGGAGAAACATGTTATGGCCGAATGCAGTCTAATGTCCCTAATTAACAGATGCGTGTTCTTTTGCAGCTTGTCTTTTGCCGGGAGTGTAAAGAAGCGTACCACGACGGGGAGTGCAGCGCCCTGTTCGCAGCCTCAGGAATGGTGACTCAGGTACAGAATGCCCGCTCATTCCCCCAAAGCAGGGCTCAGAGCGCCTGCGGGGGGCTGGCCTGTTTCCGGGAGGTCACTGAGAGTGGCACTCTGAGAAAGCACACAGCGGGCTGGTAGCTTACGGCCATGGGAATGGGACTCTGGCTTCTCCCAGAAGGACTTCGGGCCTCAGGGGAGAGCGTGGGCTTCCCAATGGCCGTGTGAGGTGTGCCAGAGCTTCCGTGATAGCGTTTCCCCCGGCGAATGTGGAATAGGGTAAGGCACAGCGGCATGGTCAGAGGAGGCTTTAGAGGGAGATAAAACAACTTAACAACCTCTAATCGAGAGAAAGCAATAGTAATTCTACTTTTATTTTATTTAATGCCTTTGTTTAGAATCTTTGGTGAAAACTATCCCCATGAATGACATGTATAGAGGTATTATATTATGCAACGATATCATTGTGTTTTAGCAACAGCATGCACTATGCTAAGTTGTATTTCAGTCCTGATTAGGTTAAGAGCATGTTTACTGAGCCTTATCCTCTGAGGTGCGATCTCAGGCTTAGGGAAATGCAAATACATTTTCTTTTATTTATTAATTATGATCAACTAAACCCTAAGGGAAAAAAGTAAAAACTTCAACACCGTTGATGAATTTTCTCATTATTTTTCTCTTGATATAGATGTTAACAAGGGTTTCAACACCAAATCTATGCAGATAAATCTTTCAGTCATTTTATTCATGGGAACCTAGTAAATAGACATAGAAATCCCAGAAATTTTAATTTTACAGCAGAGAATTTTAAAGATCTGACTGCTTTAAAATCAGAGCATACAGAAGTATAACCCTTATGGTATTGTGTGGATGTGTTTATCCAATATCAGCATAACTAAATAATAAATATAACTGGTGAATTCAGTTCTTCTCATCAGCTCCTACACTGTGGGCCATGAGCATACTGGGGATTTAGGACAGAGCTGCCATTTCCATAGCAGAGGCAGCAAACGCTCTTTCTGCTGGTCTCATTTTAGCTCAGGGACATTCCAACACGAGCTCACCGGGTACTGACAGCAGGAGCAATGATGGCCCTGTGACCCCTGCTTTGGGATCACTGTCGCAGGGGAGGGTAAGCCTGAGGCTCTGGGCAAGGGAGAGAGTCTAGCAGTTTGCAGCCATGTGCTCTCAGGACAGACAGGGACAAAGCCTTCCACGTGGCAATACTCGAGTCCTACAGTAGGGGGAGAAGAGTGTCACTTAACCTGCAGCTGTCCAGGTCCCTGACCCTCCCGCTCATTCTGCACTCAAGGGGAACCGCGCACGGCCTTGGTGCTGAACAGGGAAGGAGCACAAATGAAAAAAAAGTCATTAAAACCTTACTCAACTCAGAAAAATGGGAAAAAGAAATTTAGAGTTGACTTTAAGCATAGATGACCATTATCAAGGGAACCGTGTCTGCAAATGATATCAATAAGCAAACATTAAATTGAGCATCTGTGTGGGGGAGCAGCCTGCTAGACCCTCTAGAAAAGTGCGTTGATAAGTGTATTTCCCTCCAGAGGCTTGTGGGGCAGCCCTGGGGGAGATTTACAGGAAAATACATATCATCATTATAGTAATATGCTACACTGAAGTGCTGCAAACACATAACTTCATATAACACTTCCCCAGAAAGTCACGGAGGTGGGTGAGAGTCTGTTGAGAGGACAGTTGCGGCAGAGGGCCACGGGACAAAGGCACAGAGGCCAGGATCCCTTCAGCAACCTCTTCTCTCCCACCCTGAGTCTCCAGGCCCAAGGCGGTGTCTGGTCTGTAGACATTTAATAGGTGTGTGCTGAGGGATGGCAGCAGCTATGAAGAAGAGATGTTATTTCACCCGTTCAACAATTGTGTATCAAACACCTATGGTATGTTAGGCATTGTTCTAGGCACTCAGGAGAAAGAGCAAGATGAGTCCCTGCTTTTCTGGAGTATTGGTTACTTCAAACGATCTATCTGATAGGGGTTCTGGAGACCTGTGGGTCAGTCCAGGCCGGGTTATCCCGGAGAGAACTCCAGGCACAGCAGCCTGCGGCCACATCTCCTTGCAGCGACGCTCCCACGCTGGCTCCTGAGCATGGGCCCCGCCTCCTAGTCCCCTGACTAGACAACAGAGCAAACCCACCAACCAAATCGGAAAAGAAAAGTCTGGTGGGCACCCGCTGCCGCAGAACAGAAGGCAAGTACTTGGGTTCTTTGCTGCCATTTTTTCCTAAGTCTCTGAGTCAATCAGCCTCCACAGGAAAGAAACCAACTCAGATGGGCACCAACTCAGATGGGCACTCTCAGAAGAGAGTTTAACAGAAGGGCTGACCCCTGGGGATGGGATGGGGTCACAAGAACCACACGCAAGGTGGAGGGTACCTCAGTGTCTAGCATCTGGGGAGTGTGACCACCTGTCCGCAGGGCCAAGAGGAAACGGATTGCGTGACCCTCAGAGCTGGAGCATGGAGGAGGGGCCCTGGGACAGGAGCGTGAGCACGGGAGGCCAGCGCTGCCAGCAATGGCCCCAGCAGGAAGGGAGCGCCGGACATCCTGACCTCTCTCTCCCACCTCTCATCTCTGGCTCCCATCAGCCACACCCAGCCGAAGGCAGCCCCCGGGGAGCCTAGGGACACAGCCCAGGGCAGCCGGCCTTCCCGACACAGGGCAGGGGGGGAAGAATGCAGAACGGCCAGCACGTTCTCTGTGGGCTAATTTGCCAAGCTTCACCTTTCCTTATCTCAACCAAAGCTACTCGTGGACATGGAAAGGGATGAACCAAACAAGCGATTTCATCAAATTGCAAGACCCAATTCCATTTGGTAATAGAATGAAGGGTTTTTATTCTAACAGAGCCGGCTTGTTTTCTGTTTCCTACGTGTCTCTCAAAGGGCAGTGATCCGGGACGATGACCTCTGCAATTTCGCTGACCTGAAATCTTTGAAAGGATGACACCGTCCACATCGAACCATAAAATCTAATTGCAGCTCCCTTGGAACTGAGGCTTTAGATGCAGCCTCATGTCTGAATTTTGCTAATACGAACAAAATACCCTCATTAGCCATCTTCGCAGTTGCCTTTCAATTCAATGCACTTGCAAGGTTTTTTGCTGTTAGCTGTTGTGACTACTGTTCACTGTTCTTCCTTTCAGAGCAGATCGGTTTCTGCTCTTGGATGTCACACTCTCCAGCCAGACAAGCCCATTTCCCCGGGGCCCCAATCAGCTTTTCCTAGCAGTTAGGCCACTTAACCCAAAACTTAATGCATTTTTTGATTAATGCAATAAATTATTTTTAGAAAAAGCAAACTCCAAAATTGGTTTTAGAATATTGAACAAGTTTTAAATTGAAACTGCTGGGAGTTTGGGGAAGTGGTGACAGAAGATCGATTTTTCACAGGCCGATGAAAGTCTGACCCGTGTGCTGGCCTGTTCATTCTCCTCCTAAGTTCTGGTTCTGCCACATCGTTGCCAGGGGTTTTCTAAAAACAAAACGCTTGCTCTTGCAAACCACATAAATTGATTCATTTTTCCCAGTGGTCCTGAGTAGTTGATGTTACTCTCCCTATGCAGCAGGAAGGTAGACTGAGACTTTATGTGTGTATGTGTGAGTATGTGTTTTTTGGTTTTTTTGTTTTTTTTTTTGAGACGGACTCTCACTCTGTTGCCCAGCCTGGAGTGCAGTAGTGCAACCATAGCTCACTGCATCCTCGAACTCCCAGGCTCAAGCAATCCTCCTGCCTCAGCCTCCAGAGTAGCTGGGACTACAGGCACATGCCACCATGCCTGGCTAATTTTTTTTTTTTAGAGACAGGGTCTTGCTATGTTGCCCAGGCTGGTCTCGAGCTCCTGGCCTCAAGCTATCCTCCCACTTCGGCGTCCCAAAGTGCTGGGATTATAGGTGTGAGCCACCGCACCCAGCTAAGACTTCCAGATTTTTAATGGTGCTATAAAGCCACAAAGCAAGCCAATTTCAGTTTCTGTACCTGATTTAAGTAGTTTGGGAACATCGTCTGCTCTCTCTAATTAACATATCTATAGTATCTAAGGGGAATGTGCCCATCCCTACCTACAAGCTCCTACTCACCTTCAAGACCCAGATCACGTGTCACCTCCTCCATTAAAGCCATCTGCCCACCCGACTCCTTCCTCTAAGCTTTCAGACAGCTGCATATGCTTCTATTATACATTCATCACACTGAAATATCGTTTCCCTGTCTCTTCACTAAAAGTCCGGGCTTCGTTAGTGCAGTGTTTGTACCTGTTGAATCGTTATAGCCCCCAGTCCTGGCACATATTAGACACTCATTAAAAGTCTGTTGAATAAATGACAACTCCCTCCCTCAACCCGTACACCTCCCTCCTCACCAGGAAGCTGGGAAAACACTCTCGAGAGCAGGCTGTAGCTTTGGGGCTGGCTTTTGTCTCAGTAATCTTTTGAATCATTAGAGAAAGTAAGATTCCCACAGTTAACCTCAGTTCCCTCTGCCTCCTAAAAATTAGAAAAATGAAGCCACCATTTTGCCTGGCATAAAAATAATAATGTCTACTTGCATGGTACTTGCTTACAGAGCATTTTCACGTACACCATCTTATTTTGAGCCTCATCTCAACTGTTTGTGATAGACTTTGCTTATCGGTGGGAGAGTGGCCCACAGCTGACAGGCACCAGATTGTCGTTTTACCCAGGTCTTTGAGAGCTGCACCAGCCAGCGCTGATGACACTCCAGTCCGAGTGAAGCAGCCATGTGGCATTTCCACTGTTCTTACTGGTCACTCTGCCTTTGGAGAGAGGGACATAAGTGGGTTAGTATTGGCTCTACCGTACCAGCGATGGCCAAAGCAGACATTAACAGCCACCAGACCCTTAAATGGGTAAAACAGGCCTGATTAAACTCATGGACCTCCCAATATTTTGATAAGAGTGAAAAGATTTATATCACTTTTCCTCTGCCTTTCCTATTAAAACAAACAGAACAACAAAAATACATCAGAGCAAAAG